AAACAAAAGTCAGTGCTGATCAAGAATGAGCTCCAAAATCTTGACAAACTGTACACGGAAACCCGACTTGGTAACCGTAACTGCAAGCAAATCTGGAGCGCTATGAAAAAACTTTGTGGAGCAAAAGTCAGACTACGCGGGCCCCAACCCACAGCAGATGAACTCAACCGTATGTTTTCCACGTCCACTGAAGTATCGCATCCTTATTTTCAANACACGTACATCTGGCCGGAAGATTTTTCATAGGTTGTGTGACCTGGTTCACTTGGCATCGCTGAGAGAAATGGTCTCTGGTACAAATTTCGATCAGTTCTTTGATCCCAGTGTCTCGATCGAGTTTGAACATCTCACGAGCTATTTGACCTTCTGCTTTGACATCTGCTGCCATAGGCCTTATATACATCAGTCCCGCCAGATTTTCTTCTCTCACTTTGAAGATCCTCAGAAAAACCAAGGAATGGGCATGTAAAAATCGTGATCGACTTTTAGTTAAACGAACGTCAGTTCTAATCAAGAATGAGATCCAAAATCTTGATAAACTCTACACTGAAACCCTTCTTGGAGACCGAAATTGCGAGTAAATCTGGAGCGCTATGAAAAAACCTTGTGGAACAAAAGTCAGACTACGCGGGCCCCAACCCACAGCAGATGAACTCAACTGCATGTTTTCCACGTCGAATGAAACTGAAATATCGCATCCTTATTTCCAATCAGTTGACCATCGTGAAATTTCGTGTCATTTCTAATCAGGTGCGTGCACAGCTGAAGTGCCTAAAAATATCAAAAGCTTCTGGTCCTGACGGATTGTGTCCAGTCGTCCTCAGGGAATGTGCGCATTATCTGGCGGAGGCACTTGCCGGTATTTTCAACCGCTGCTTCGAGGAACAAAAAATTGTCGACTACTGGAGACCTGTGCGCATTACACCAGTCCCCCAAAAAGAAGCTGGCAAACTACGACCAATCGCCTGCACTTCTATTTTACTAAAATTTTTCGAAAAGTTTATGCTCAGTAACATTCCCAATACTGGCAACTAGATGAAAACCAATTCGCTTATCGCAAACAACGTTCTACCTTAGATGCTCTCGCTCATTTGGTAAACTCAGTTTTACGATCCCTAGACATGCACGGCAGGGCATTTCGTGTGTGTTTCCTCGACTATAGTAATGCTTTTAACTGTGTTGACAGGAGCAGCCTTTTGTCTCTACTCCAAGATGCTGGACTGTGCAATAATATCCTCTCCCTACTCCAAGATTATTTTGCTGGTAGAACGCAATTCATAAAGTTTCTTGGAAAAACCTGACTCCCTACTAGTCAACTCAGGGGTGCTCCAGAGGGCAATTTTGTCCCCTTTTCTCTTTCTATATTCATGACCTTCCCACTAACCCAAATGATCTTATTAAGTATTCTGATGATGTCACAATTGGTTCCAAATTCCAAGGTGATTTCCGCTTCTCATATCTTCAAACCAGTTTATCTGCCTTAAACGTATGGTCTTCATCTTCCGAGTTATCTCTCAATTCATCTAAATGTAGCGATGCCACCTTTTCGCTCGCCAAAGGAGAACGGCTACATTCTTTTGAAAGAAATTGTTCTGCACTCTGTGTTGACAACCAGCCTGTTCCCCCATTAAACTCTCTACAATACCTCGGTGCCACTATCTACCGAGATCTCACCTGGACCTCACACTTAACTTCTACTTTGGTAAAAATTCGACGGTTGTGTTTCGTTATTACCCGCTTGCGTTCTTTGAAAGTTCCATTGTATTTACTAATCCAATTTGTGTTGTTACTCATCTTCTCTACTGCGCCCCAGTTTTATTTGCCGGTCTTAGAGCTAAAGATTACACAATTCTACGCCGGTCTATTAAAATTATTTCTCGCACAAGCGGTATTCCCTATTTGCACTTGCTTAACTTTATTGCTGATAAACATTTTACCT